AGGCATGGTTTGTGGAGTCCTCTGCACGAACCTTGCTGGTGTCCTTCTTCTTTTTGGGAAAGGCGGCGGCTAGTGGCGCGTGCTGCTTCTGCTGCGTCTGCCTGTCCAATCTGTAGATAATGCTGGTGGCAGTGGAGAGACTGATGCGCCCGTGGCTGGCCAATTCCTTAAGGGCTGTCGGGTGGGCCTCCAGACTGAAGGCTTGGAGGAGCCTGCGTGCTGATGTTCTCATCTCAGCCATAGTATCTGCCACGCGGTCCAAGAGGCCCAAGTCGGTGCGCAACCGACGCTTGAAATCAGGAAGTCGGAGGTGGACGTTCACGAACGATCCTGAAGCGTGTGGTGCCCTGGATGCAGCGAGCGCGGTAAGCCGATGCTTGGCTTCGATGCTCCTTTCCCAAACGGGAATCCCCAACACTATGCCCGCCATCCGCTGCAGCGCGGGCAGCGACTCCAGCGGTGCATGTTGTTCAGTGAAGGACAGCACTTCCGAACGTAGTGGCGAAGCGGGGTCCAGGATGTGCTTTGCTATCGGCCACAAGCTCGACCTCTGCTCGTCCGTCATCGCAGCGTACTCGACGAGGCACTCCTTCAAGCCTACTCGGGCTGTGTCTGTGCTTGTGCCGGCGCCGTCAATCAAACCTAAGACGCAGACCTTGTGGGGCAAATGCATCCAGTGGCAGAATTTGATACCGATTACTTCAGACATCTTGCCGCGAGCTAGTTCCCAATCGCGTACGATCATATCCCTGTCTTTCCTGGGAAGCGTTTCGGTCCGAGTTAAAAGCAAACCAACACCTTGTGCAACGAGCTGTTGGAGTTGGTCCTGGTGCTTTGAAGCTGCAAAGTCTGGTGCGCGTCGCCCACGCATCGGGCACGTTGAGTGCCTGACGCCTGTTTCGCCTATGAACTGGGCACGTCGTGCAAAATAGGGGCGTCCAGCCGAGTATCCGTCTTTGCGCCGAAAATCAACGCAGTGACAGGGACAGGATTCGGACCAATTTTGCCATTCATATAGTACCCCATGGACTGTGATCATAACTGCATGGCTATACGCCCAAAACGTCGGATTGTTCACAGCCTGTGGTGCGATCGACAAACTCACAGTGGGTTGGGTTGGGCGCGGGGAAGGCATGGGGGCGAGAAAAGGAGCGGAGGGGGTGGGGCGGGAAAGATGGGAGGAGGGGAAGGGGCGGGAGGGATGGAGGAGGTCATGCGGAAGGGCAGGCGGAGTAGAAGGTGGGAGGGGGAAGCATGAGGAGGGAGGGAGGAAGCACGCAGCCGATCTGAATCCTTATGGGTCACTCTGTCAGACCCCCCCCCCGCCACAAGAAGAACCTCCCCGCGGCTCTGACGGGAACTGTCTGCACGGCGCACACCTCCCGCACGAGTGGGGGGTCCTGGCACGCGGGAGGACACTTCCTGCCAAAGGTTCGTTCCTCGGGAGGCGGGGGGGGGGAAGAGGCGGAGGAAGAGGACGAAGGAAGAGGAGGAAGAGGGAAGAGGGGGAGGAAGAGGGAAGAGGAGGAGGAGGAGAGGGAAGAGGAAGAGGGGAAGGAAGGGGGAGGAATGGGGTGCCAATGGTTAGGGGGAGGAAGAGGGAAGAGGAAGAGGGGGAGGAGGAGGACGACGAGGACGACAAGCGAGAGAAGGATGAGGAGGAGGAAGGCGACGACGACGACGACGACGACGACGACGACGACGAGGCGAGGTCGCGTGCGAGGTCGCGGGCGGTGGTCGCGGGCGGTGGTCGCAGGTTGTGGTCGCTGGCATGGTCGCCTTTGCTACGGTTAGTGCTACGCGGGCGGAGCCCGAGGTTTAAAGCGATTCAGATCGGCTGCCGTGGATCTGGAGTGGTCGGTGAATGTGTTGAATACCCAAAGCCTCGTCAATAAGACCCAGATCGGACTCGCCCACGTCTCCAGTATCGTCCTGCTTCGGCTTTGCTGGCTGCGCCTCTGCGTCCACGTCCATGGCGGTTGGCTGGTTCCTGTCGTCCCCTGGCCGATTCTTGTACTTCGCCAAGTTCCAGTGATTGCGTAGCCCAGTCTCTGCAAATTGCAGCTGCTGCAAGGCAGGAATTATTGAAGAGAACCTCCACTCGGTCGGCCTGCTTGTGATCCCCTTGATTGCAACTTCGTGCACCTTTGCTGCATCTGACGAGAAACACCTTTCCAGAAGCCGTTGCTTGGTGTGAGTATCTGCGCAAAGGATGATTAATGGTTTCGCACGCTGCATAAACCATTCCCGATTGGAAAAGGCGTGAAGGACATCCTGTAGTGCATTATTGCACACGTGCAAAACTCCAGAGATCGGTATGCTGCCATCGAAAAACCCACGGGAATTGAGCGTTGCCTCGTCGGCGACGCCTCGCTGGCCCGTTGAGACTGGTGGCGCTGGCGGAGGAGGCGCGCACACATCGACGCCGTCGTCGTCCACCACCTCCAGCTCGTGATCCTTCTGGTCGTCGGCGGGCTGGCCAAGCTGGTCGCGATGGCGGGGCTGGTCGTGAATGCCGTCGTCATCAATGATGTCCATATCAGGGATGACATCGTTGCCGTTGTCGCCCGCGTTTTGCTCGATGCCATTGTCGTCCTGTTCAAGTAGGCCGAAGTCGTCTTGGATAGCCGCGGTGTCTGCCATGTCTTGGCACATGCCGTTGCCGTCAAATACGTCGGGCATGGCGTCGTCCTTCGGGTCGGGCGAAAGGGGGGGATAGCAAAGGGGGGGTTTGAGAATCAGCTCACGTAGCTGATTTTCCCGGCGCCTCCCGGCGCCGGAGGCGGCTATGCATCGAGGAATGGGCCCCTCGGTGAGGCCGAAACCAGCTGCATGCAGCAAATTTCGTAACCCCCCCTTTCCCAATCCCCCCCTTTCGCCCGACCCGAGTCCTGGGGCGTTGGAGCAGCGTGGTCGCGGCCGTCGTCGTCTTGCTCCGAAAGGTCCACCCAGTGCGGGAACGCGTCGGCCAACGACACGGGGAGAGCACCCGCTAGGGCGGATTCGGTTCCCAGGTCCGTCGTAAAGGATACGATGTTTTGCGTCCTGCGCTGGCAGTTCGCCATGGAGCCAGATGCCACCCGAAAGGCGTGCACAATTGCGTGAAGTTTGTCAGCGGCAGTAGTTGCTTGCGCCCCCAGACCGACCGCACTCAACTGATGGTGCTCCCAAAGTCCAATGAGTTCTTGCGAACCCGACATGAATATGCGAGATGCTTCCGTTGCTTCGTGCTGTCGGTCGTCGCTCATCTCTTGAAAATCCAAAAAGCCGCTGGCAAGGTCTTGTGCATCTTGCTTGTAGTACAAAAGCTGCCTCGTAAGTTCGTACACCCTGGCTGGGTCCTTGCAGCGAAAGGTTTCGGTCATCAACCAATCTGTCCCAAGAATAGGCGAAGCGTCGGACAAACCATATTCTACACTCTTCTCGGCTGGATCAGTAGTGAACTTGTTCCATCGGTCCTGCTCGTCCCGTAACATAGCGACGTCGAAGGTCACGAAGTAGCGCTGCACCGTACTTGGCGAGGGGATTGACCCAGGCTCTTCGAGTGCATCCAAGACGCCCTGGGCAACCGAGGGATGTACGCAATACCGAATAGCGTCCCGAAGCACACCTTCTAGATGCCTCGCTCCATGTAGCCTTGTCGCGATCAAGATAGCATGAAGGATCTTTGATGCTGCGTGAATACGGCCAACGTTCATGCTATATACTCTCCCTCTGTCGCGCAACGCGTCTGAGGTATGCCCAAGAAACTGGAGAGCCTCTGATACTCGTTGGCGGTGTTGCTGCTGGTCAGTCGGCGCAAGGGTGTCGAAAATGCAACGCATAGTTGCAGCGGCCTTGTCTACGTTGTGAGCCTTAAGGAGCATCGCTGTCGCTGACAGGCTTGGGGCCTGGACTGCTACCGTAGCGTCGTCGTGGATGCCGAAGGTTGCGTTGAAGGCGTGCTTCGCAACGGCAGTGGTGGCGCCGTTCCACATGTAGACATGCTGAAACCTGCGCTGAAGCAGGAGGTCGACCATTGGGAAGGGTGGTGCGTGTGCGTATGCCTTGGGCTGCACGTCGAAATCGCGGCCTTCTTCGCGCCACTCCGCCAGCGCACGGGATACAGCAGGCACTTGAAGCAACGATTGTACACTCCCCTCTCCCAGTAACAGGTACGGCTTCCTAGCTGAAATGTCGGAGTAGGTAACGACATCGTCGGCGGCAAGGCTGGAAAACATACGAACTGCTTCAACTTTGCATTTCCACAGGGTCTGATCACCTTCGCCGAACGACCGCAAGGCACATCGCGTTTCGGAGTCGCCTACGTCCAGATCTGCACGTATTGGAACCGCAGGCGTCCGCACAAGCATGATACCGCCCACCATGGCCACACGAATATCGTATCCCAACCCACCGTCACCACGGGTCTGTTGCATACCTCGGCCTGCGGGCTTGCAGAATCAATGCTCGCATGGGGGATGACGGGGGTTAATCTATACCCATCCCCCTCGCAGCTGGCCCCCTCCCCGAGCCCCCCGACCCTCGTACCGAGCCTCCCTCCCATCCATCCTCTCCTCCTCGCACTCCTCCTCGTGCCTATCTCCTCGTGGGGACGGGTGATGGATTGAGTAGCGGGTCTGCCTGTTTCAAGAATGAACTCGGCGTCCGCCGCACTGCTTATAAACGAATCCCGTCGCTCATTTCTCCCAGTGGTTGCACGAGCAATAAGAAACACTGGAACCAGCGTCATCCTGACGGTGGAAGGGGGTGGAAGAGGTGGAAAGCGGAAGTCCTGGGAGGTAGGTGTTCTCGGGGCGCTCGGACACGGCGCGGAAGTTGTTGTTCACGGGGCGCCTGGCCGCGGGGGAGGAGCAATCGGAGGAGGAGGAGGAGGGACGAGGGAGGGCAGGGAGGGTGGGAGAAAGGGCTGGCCGAGGAGGACGCGCCCAGTGGGACGCGTCCCGTTTGGATCCTCATCCTCCTCCCCCCTCGTTCTCCCCTTCCTCCTCCTCCTCCTC